TATTTATTCTATGAGGTATTACAGTTAGCTGTCTTTTGCAATTTACATACAGGCTATGTTTTGGAAAATGATTTAAGTAATCAAGTTGGTAACGAATAATGACGTTATAATTGAAAAGAAAAAAATATTCCGCATTTTAAATTAAGCGTCGCTTAATACGATGATATGATAACAAACCGGATATATACGGGGTGTTACACTTACCTCAAAGACGACAAAACTTGGTGTACGGAGCCAAGTTGTGGAGAATTGCCTCAACTCAACAAGCTTGATGCCCCCAAAAATGTACTATGAGGTTAACAAGCCGTCACGGCCAAATTAATCCTCACAGATAAGTTAACAAGCCGTCACAGCCAAATTAACAAACCCCCTTAATTCTACTCAAAAACAAATTTTTTACTATGACACTAGCTTTAATATAAAACCCAAGTGTCTTTTTTTAACTCTTGAAATAGTCTTTTTATGTTTTTTTGTTTGGTTTTCTCCAATTGTGTGTGTTGGAAGGAAGGGGGATGAGCTCTTTATATAGAGGGAAGGGAGGAGGAAGGAATGAGGAGTGGGCAATGTGGGACTACATAGGAAAATTGATTTTTTTCAATGTGGACAGCCATTTTGCGACACCCATATCTCACACTAAAAGGCTTAGCTTGAAAATCGGTTCGGTCATATTGAAGTATCATATGCGAGGAACATGCCGACCAAATTTGAGGAAGATCGGACGGTTCATTTGAGAGAAATGATCCTTGCAATATGACTGCCCGAAATTGCATCTATTCTAACAAAACTAACAACCCATCTTTCGAAATTTATATCTGATGTTAGGATGCTCAGTTTGAAAATCGGTCCTGTCAGATTGAAGTACCATACGCGAGGAACACGCTGACCCAATTTGAGGACGATCGGACGGTTCATTTGGGAGAAATGACCTCACAAAATCGCTGCTTGCTGTAGAAATGTCTAGAAAAACTGGTGCGGATTTGAATTTCCTAGGAATGATATAGACATCCAATCAAGAAATCCACCAGTTGATATGAAGGACGATGAGTTAAGATCTTGCTAAAATATTTTCAGCGCGATCAGACAGTGGATGAAGGATACATCGCGGCTGGAACATGTCCTACTCAAAGCTGTTATTTTTTCTGAAATGGTCTTTCTTCCCTTTTCCATCTTTTTGATTGCTCTCTTCCTTTTTTTCTTATTGAAGGACAAAAATATGTGTTCATAACTTAAATTTTTCTTTTCTTTTTCTTTTTTCTTTTTGTATTTTTTGTTTTTTTAAATATTTGGGACAAAATTGGGTGTTCACAGTCGTCCATAGAACTGTTTGGAGTTGGTAGAGAACGAAGTACGAAGCTTAGTGTCATGGGCCTCGTATGCCACCGCCAGTTGCATGGCTTGATGGAGAGAAGTTGGATTATGAAATTGAATAGCGCGCCTCAGATCCGCATGTAATCCAGAGATAACAAAACTAGCAAGGACCTCGTCTGAAAATTCGGTCACTTGATTGATTAAGGCTTCAAATTCCCGGATATACTTGTAACATCCCGAGCGCTGACGAGGGCGGAGAGTGATCACCGGTGCAAAGAGGCATGGACAAGGAGGGGCTCCTGACAGGCTTCCAGCGGGGGGTTACATGCATGAATGAATCGAATCGACACCCGAAAGAGAGGGATTCCAAAGGCTGTGCAGGTATAAGACTGCACAGTTGGGATAGCTTATAAGAATTAATTGGTACTACCTATGCTAACAAGATGCATCTGCTTTTCGGTAGTCCGGATCGGAAGAACTCCACAGTTAAGCGTGCTTGACTTGGAGCAATTCTGGGATGGGTGACCTCCTGGGAAGTTTTCCCGGGAAGTGTGCGAGTGAGGACAAAGCACGCTGAAAAGTCTCGTGTTAGTGTGTGGGGACAGTCGTTGATCCTTGCAAGTTGTCAGGCGTTACAAGTGGTATCAGAGAAGGGCCTCTCATCTAGTACGGTGTGGTTCGAGGACGAACCAGGCGGAAGATGGTGGGAATGTAACATCCCGAGCGCTGACGAGGGCGGGGAGTGATCGCCGGTGCAAAGAGGCACAGACAAGGAGCGGCTCCTGACAGGCTTCCAGCAGGGGGTTACATGCATGAATGAATCGAATCGACACCCGAAAGAGAGGGATTCCAAAGGCTGTGCAGGTATAAGACTGCACGGTTGGGATAACTTATAAGAATTAATTGGTACTACCTATGTTAACAAGATGCATATGCTTTTCGGTAGCCCCGATCGGAAGAACTCCACAGTTAAGCGTGTTTGACTTGGAGCAATTCTGGGATGAGTGACCTCCTGAGAAGTTTTCCCAGGAAGTGTGCGAGTGAGGAAAAAGCACACTGAAAAGTCTCGTGTTAGTATGTGGGGAATATAACATCTCGAGCACTGACGAAGGCGGGGAGTGATCGCTGGTGCAAAGAGGCACGGACAAGGAGCGGCTCCTGACAGGCTTCCAGCAGGGGGTTACATGCATGAATGAATCGAATCGACACCCGAAAGAAAGGAATTGCAGGTATAAGACTGCACAGTTGGGATAACTTATAAGAATTAATTGGTACTACCTATGTTAACAAGATGCATATGCTTTTCGGTAGCCCGGATCGGAAGAACTCCACAGTTAAGCGTGCTTGACTTGGAGCAATTCTGGGATGGGTGACCTCCTGGGAAGTTTTCCCAGGAAGTGTGCGAGTGAGAAAAAAGCACACTGAAAAGTCTCGTGTTAGTATGTGGGGATAGTCATTGATTCTTGAAGCAGCCGGACGTTACAATACTCCTTCAAGGCTCCAGTTTGTGTGAGCTTGGAAAGAACGCCCTTTAGATCCATGTAAGCTTCAACTTCAAATCTTTGACATAAGGCTATCTTAAGGTCTTTCCATGATTTCAGTGACCCCCTTTTGTACAACCATTGATACCATGGTGAGGCTGCTCCTTCCATTTTGAGTCCTGCCAACCGAACTTTATGCTCCTCAGGTACATGTTGCAATTAGTACAATATCTCTGTTTTGAAGATCCAGCCGTTCGGATCAACGCCGTGAAATGTCGAAAACTCCATGCGAACAAACTTAAAGAAGGATCGTGGGCCATTGTGGTTAACCCTAACATTCCCTCGCCCATTGTTGTAGTACGAATCTTCAGGCATCGACGCCGATTATGGATCCCCTTGCATGCGTGGTTCACTCGAAAAAGAAGATTGATCCTTCTGTGGTCCTGGATCACGAACACGACTTTCCAATCCCAACAAGACTACATGAATTTGTTGCAATTGATTGTTGAAAGTGGCGATTTGAATCTGATTTTCATCTAAGTGTTGCTCCATACGAACTTGGGAAGCCCCAAACTCTTCGTGGGAGTATGAAAAGGACCTTCAAAATTTTTATCCTGAGCTGGACCTTGTGGTCAAGGTCCCTTTTGAAGGAGGGACATGTGAAACGGTAAAGGGTAGATCCAAGAGGCTAACAAGTGCCCCAAGCTAATTAAGTAATATTTAATGATATGTACTAAATATTATTAATTTTAAATAATTAATTATTAAAATTGTTAATATAATAAACATTTTTCACTTAATAGCTTTTATTTTAAAGTTTGTATAAAATACATAATCTAAAATAATCATAAACAAATTCTATGTTTTATATAAACATTTTTTTATAATTAGTTTTATATAAGTCGCATCTCATTTAATGATTTAATGTCCAAAAATATGATAATAATGACAAACGTAGAGACAGACTAACACAGCCATGATCCAACCCTTTTATGTAAGTATTCGCGTGGAGAGTGGCAATAATGGAGGTAAAGTTATTAAAATCTAAGGTTGCATATCCCTCGTGCCGTGATTTTTCTTTAAGCTACTATTTGTTTTTCTTCTTGACATATAAAGAAAAAAGTACCTACCAAATCTCATAATATTTTATTCTGTGTTTTTTAATGCAGATCGTAACTTTTAGTCTTTAATTCTGGTGTTGACTTTTAATTACACCAACAAGATAACGCCAAATTCATATGTAGATATGAATCTGATAATTGAGCAACCAGTTTCATTTTCAAAATTAGAAAATCACTTCATAGAATTGAACACAAATCATGCCTTTCAAAGAATTGAAGAGGCAGCCTCTCATTCAGAATGAACTTCTCTTAAAAGACGCATCTCTGGCTACAACAATTATAAACATTCAGAAAGTTGCAGGAATTTTAAGATGGTTTAATAGTGAATAAAAGGGGTGTGAAAAAAATCAAATAAATTGAATCACACTAAAGTAATTACATTTAATCAAATTATTTTTTCTTAGGATAATGCTTCTCTCACTTAACATGAATGAAATTTTTTTCCCTATACTAACAAGAAATATGAAGCCCATGAATTAAAGAAAAATAAAAAAGGAAAAAAATTGTAGTCACATCTTTTTATATTTCTATAACATGAGATAATTATCTCAGTTAAAGAAAATAATTTATCTTTTACTTAACCAGTTCAAAAATAGAATCGTTTTTACAAAGTCAGTTCAATTCAGGTTGAAAACCAAACCGAATCAAACCATATCTACTCCTAGTAATATGAACAAATCAAATAAAACAAACCGAGCCACGAAATAAATTGAACCGCATCACATTTTTCAGACCTAAAATAACCGCTTTTTAAAACCGGTTTGATTTCCCCAAACCGAACATTTTTCCGATTTGCTTGAATTCATATTGAAAACCGAATTGTACACTCCCCTGAATCATATACAATCCGGAACATTGTTGCAAGTAATATTACTCAACCGAATATTAACACTTGCTAAATTGCAGGGCTCAATTCCACCCAAAAAAGAAAAATTAATAAAAGTTACAAGCCCCCATCAAACCCCTCCCAAAAAAATGTAGAATTTGCAGCCAAAAAAAATTAACAAAAACATCATACGAAAATAAATGGAATGGAGCAACCTTAGTCCATTACAATCTTCATTCTCTGATATTGGAAGATAAATGCCCTACTTGCTAGTTTAAACTATCACTATATAAGGTCCTGCATAAGACCCCTGCTATTATTAATTGCCAGGCTCCAAACACCAGAAAAATCATTGCTTTCTAGAACCAAATCCTCTGATTTGCCTTCCTTGGGATATAGTAACGGAGAATTAACTGATATTTCACCAATGGAAGCCAAAATTCTCAACTCAGATTCATCCAAGCCTTTTGCTGAGCCTAAACTACAGCGTTCATTCCCATGCTTTGTTAAAGCGTCCTTAAATTTCTTAATCTGTGGCATAACATGTTTTACATTAAGTTATGATTTGAGAAAGACATAACCAGAATAGGATTGTATCAATCAGATTCTTACAGTTGCATTGGTACAGCTGAAGCTACAAACTCGACCCTCAGCACCTCTATAGAACCTGAAGAATGGTAACACATGAATGTGCAGACTGTGACACATGGTTTTCATCTCCTCGTAATTGACTTTCAGAAATATTGTATTTGGGTACAATTTCGCTATTTGACAGATCTGGTCACATGAAACTTGGTTAAATTTTGTTACCCCCAAAAACCAAACTCGCAAATTGAAGATCACTTTCAATTCAATTAGACAGGAACAGTTTCCTTATCCTTTCCAAAACAAATTTTTTTTTTTTTTATTTCAAAAAACAAAAAAACATACCTTGGGATGAAGGGCTTTGCAGCCTCCACAGCCAGGTGAATAGAAGTCCACTACAACCAATGCATCACCAGCTTTGAGCAAAGAATGGACCAGTTCTTGGGCTGAATGGATCTCAATCATATTAGGCTTTAGGTTCTTCTTCCACCACTTCAAAGCTCTACTAACGCAAATTGTTGCTTTTGCTTGTGCCTGAAACAAAAATTTTGAATGTAAAGAATAGGAAACTAGTTGGGAAGCGAAAAGTTGAATACCCAGAAAGCAAAAGTTCACTTCACTTACATTGCTGGATTTCAAACTGCAATACCCTGAGCCTTTTACATCTGGAAGAGCAATGGGTTTTCCTATGAAATCAGTACTCAAAACAGAACAAAACCTTGACTTTGCTATGCCAGGTCTTGAGGCACAAAGCCCCAACACCCCTTTGGTTTTAGAACCAGGAAAACTCTCATTCAATTCATAAACACATAGAACACTCTTCAAGGAACATGCCATGATTAGTCAAAATAAAAGATCTTGTCAAGTTCAGATCATGAGATGAAATGGATATATTCAATAGTAATTGTTTCAGCTTTAGGATCAAAACCTCGTTTATCAAAACACTGGGTTGTGGAGAAAAGATTCCAGCTTTGTAAGACGCTAAGAATGTTTAGAGGCTTCTGAAACAAGAAAAGCCAACAAAAGTAATGGATAAAAAGTGCAAGCTTTGATCAGACAAAAAGTGTTCTTTTCTCGTGAATAATACTCACTCGTAAGAGAGCGATGGTGGCTTCCAAACTCATTAGAGTAATAGTGAAATGCGGTTGGTGGGGTCTCTTCTGAGTTCTGAGTTCTGAGTAACGTTGTCCATTTTCTTGTAAAAAGCAAAAAATAAAAAATAATAATTACCTTTATCCATTTTCATTTTATAAAAAATTACTAAAAACCAAAACATTATCCACATCCACGTCATTCCGCATCCGCGTTATCTTTTTTGCATTTATTAAGGATAATTAATACCTAACTACTTAGTTGTCCCATGTCACGTCACATGTGAGTCCCTCCGAATAAATAAAAATTACAAGGCCTGTTATTTGATAGGGTTTCTGAGTTAGGCTTGGTTTGGAACTTTGAAATTTGAATACTTGAAAAAGAAAACCAGAATAAAAAATGGAAAAAAGAACCCACGGAAAGAGGGAGATAGGTGAAAGAAATTATTAAAAAAAAACTAGAATTTAACTTTTTTATACAACTACTGTTTGTTATTTTGTTCTTTGAAAGAGATAAAGAAGAAAAAAAAATCAGATATGGTAAAAGGAAAAATTATTTAACTTTTTAAATGATATAATTTATGTCATATTACTTTTATAAAAAAAATATGATTTCATATTTTTATTTTTTTTTGTCCTTTCTCTGCTCTAAACAATGAAGAAGTAGATGAGGAACATTCAAGAGGGAAGAAGAGAAGATGAACAACATGCATCCATTGATTGAATAACTAGCTAGTCACGTTTAACACTATATGGGTATTTATATACAATCCAATAACCAAGTTAACTAACTCTAACATAACATGGTTTAATACCACTAATTATGCCACGTCAGCATTAATATCTGATTACATCTCTTTCATGATCTATCTTTTTTTCTCACTTAAAATAACATAACTTTATATTTTTTAAAATTACACACACTTTTTCCATATGATAAAATTCATAATTTTTAGAATTGGACTAAACCAGTAACTTGGAACAAAAACGAATCTTAAATTTGGTCTTCAAACTTTATGAACTATATAGTAGAACCTCGTCAAATTATTGAGGTAGAGAACAAATTTGACACGTCATTAACGTGATTTTGGTTGTCGGAAATGGGACTACGAATTCTTCCAACCAAACCTCATTTTAGATTCTAGAATCATGTTAACATTATTTTTCTTAGAATCATTTTTATCAAGACCAAGGTATAAACAATTGTGAAACCTAAAATTGTAATATAAAAAAAATCATAAAAACGGAAAAACATTTTAAATATTAGTGTACCGTTGATGGTACATAGATGTGTCCCATAGAAGGTAAAATATGTTGATGTAGGGGTGCTCATAGTGGCAATTAGGGGTGCTAAACGAACCAGAAGCCTTTGGCTCGGCTCGTGAATGCCTGAGCTTACATCTCTAAAATTGGTTGTTGGCACTAGGCTTGAACTTGTATAAAAACTCGTTTAATAAAAAGGCCCCAGGCTCCAATTCAAAAGCTCGGCCTTAGAGCCTCTCAGGCTAGCCTAGTATATTATTATTATTTTTATTTTATATTTTTTTATACTACTTGTAATAGTCCTCTTTTTCTACTCAATCTATTTCACCCCATTTTATTGGTTTAACAAAGTTTTTGAATGATTTTGTTATATATTATGCTGTTTGGATATACATTGAATTTATGAATATTAATGGAATTACTAGTGTTGTTGATTGTATATTCTGTTTGGATAAATTTTTGTTGTCTTATTTTTTTTAAACAGGCTAACAAGCTTTTATTTTTTGTAAATAAGTCAGGCCACAAGCTGGTAATTATATTTGTAACAGATAATAGGCTTGATAAGACTGACATATTTAAACACAGGCTTAGCCTTTTAAGACCAAAACTCGGCCCACTAACACCCCTAGTAGCAATGGTAAAGACCAAAGCACTGTAGAGACTTCCCATGTATATGCATCAAGGGGGAGTGTGTGGAAGTGGCTAGAATAGCTCCCATGTTGGCAGCGTAACCGCGTGAAGTTGAATAGAGGAGAAGAAGCCCCCTCCTCAATGTGAGAGGGGGTATTTAGAGTAGGAGTAGAGAGTTGTAGTCAACCTAGCCAGCTTAGCCTTTTCAGGCTAGACATGCTGAACCTCTGCTGGTGTGCAGGGGTAGCAGTGCTTGGGGAAGAAGGAAGGGAGTTTTTCTTAATGGAGAGCCTTTATGGCTTGCCATGGGTTCCCTCTAGAAGGTTCTAGATGTGAGCTTCAAGAGATTGGACCCAACTGGTGGGCCTAAGGTGAGTGTATCCAGAACAATTGGTAAAAGTATTTTGATGAAAAAAATCGTACATGATAAATAGAGATTTTAACTACTATGATCAAAATACCTTTTTAAGGTGGTTTTGGCTAGAACAAACATCTATAATAAAACCCACTAAAGGTCAAATTTGGGGTGTTTTTATCAATTTAAGATAATTAGTTTTTTAATTTATTGGAATAGTCTAACTTTTAAAAAAAAATATCTAAAAATGTTATTACGATTAATCTAGTAGCAAGGAATTCAGATAATTTGCATGACATAAGTTTGAATCTCACCAGCATTATATAAAAAAATTGCTGAATAGAATAAGTTATTACGTGTTGGTCCCGAATAAACTCAATAGGGGTGAATTGAGTTTTATAAAAATAATTTGCTAATTAAAAATTAACTTAAAGCAATAAATCAAGATAAGGATAAAAAGATATTAACACAATAGTTTTTATGTGGAAAACCCAAAAGGGAATAAAAACAACAGGCCCTAAAATTGAATATTGAAATTCGATAGACAACTTCACTATGAAACTTGCGTACAAAGAGTTCTCTATAGGACTTTAGCTTTATGGACTATGGTAGATTAGATTGTGGACTATTATGAACTTTTATGGATTATTATGCTTTCCTTCTTGCTTCTTGCATAGATTGTTTTACGATTTCTCTTTATACACTTATGCTTTTTGATGTTGCCAAAGGGGGAGAAAGATACGTAAATTGAGAAAATCATAGGCAAATATTAAGGTAAAAAGGGGGAGAATGAAATTCAAATATAAAAGGGAAATTACATGACACCTAGATTTTCACCTCGGATATCAATCATATATTAAGGGGGAGTTTCAATACTACATTTGTCTAAATACATGCTATACTAATCATTTTCTCAATTTGAGTTTGTCATCATCAAAAAAGGGGAGATTGTGGAACCAATGCACTCTACGTAAAAAATATATAAAAGTTCAACAATTTTGATGATAACAAACAAGCATGGAAAGAAAGCTTCAAGGTGCAACCATAAAAAAGAAGTCTAAACAAGATCAAGACTCAAGCTTCAAGAGAAGTCTCTAAGTCCAAGCAATCTCCAAGTAATATAGTATAGGACTTAGGATCATTTGAAAAGGTAATTGATTCCTTACGTGAACGAAGCTCAAAGTATTTTTCAAATACATGCATTAAATCATCGTTTGACTTTCAAATACATTCCTAGCATGAAAATATAGTTTTCAATGTTCATAAAATGTTTAAACAATATTTGAAACTAATGTGAATCAAGAGAAAACCATCTTAGGGTGAAATCCAACCTTTCAACAGGTTGGTAGTCGATTACCCAACAAGGGTAATCAATTACCTACTGTGCAGAAGACAAAATAACGGCTATAAAATGGCTAGTTTGCGAAAATGAGTGTGAAAAAGGCCATGGGGGCCCTTTATAAATAGAGACTACTGTTCCCATGGACACACTTCTTGATCATTATTACTCATTAATTCTTATCCTATTTGCATTATTCTTGTATTCTTGATCATAAATTATATTTGAGCTTTATTCTTGTGAGAAGTGTCATATACCATTGTTCTTCAACTTGTCTTATTTGTACTTTGAGAGTACTTAGCCATTGTTAAACACCTTCCTTTGATTTCTTGAGTAGTTAGGGGAGTAAACCCTATACACTTGAAAGGTCACCAAATTCCTAAGAAAATTTGGAGTGAAAAATTGTAAGGCATCAAGAGCCCGAAGTCTTGAAAGATTGTAGTGGTTTGTCAAGCACCCTCAAGCTTGGTAGTTAGTGAAAAGAATTGATCGAGCAGCTTCAGTCTGGACGTAGGTCACGGTGGTGGTGACCGAACCAGGATACATCTAGTTTGCAATTTCTCTAACCTTAATCTCTTTATTTAAGTATTAAAATTGCATTTTAGATTGTCTTTATATATTCGCTTGCTTACTTTGTTGATCACTACACTTTCTCTTACACTTAGATCTTTCCTCATAAATCACTTTATTGAAGAAATAGTCTTTAAAATATCAAAGGATGTACTTTGCGAAAAGATTTTGTAAAACTCAATTCACATAAAACCCATTACCTAGGAGAACTTTGAGAGTCTTTCATATCATGCTCGTGGAGCTTGTTTCAACCCATACAAGGCTCTCTCAAGCTTGTAGACATAGTCTCCAATGGAAGGGTCCTCAAAGCCCAAAGGTTGCTCAACATACACATCCTCTTGCAGCAAGCCATTCAAGAAGGCAACTTTCACATCCATTTGGTATAGCTTGAATCCTATATATGAAGCAAATGCAATGAGAATTCTAATTGCCTCTATCCTTACTACTAGTGCGAAGGTCTCTCCATAGTCCATCCCTTCTTGTTGATTGTAACCTTTAGCTACCAGTCTTGCTTTATTTCTTATGATGGAGCCATGCTCATCCAGCTTGTTTTTGAACACCCACTTTAGTCTTATTACAATTCTATCCTTGGGTCTAGGTTCAAGATGCCACACCTTATTTCTTTCAAATTGATGAAGCTCATCCTGCATAACTAACACCCAATCTGAGTTGCTCAAGGCAATTGCATGGTTAGTAGGCTCAGTTAGAGAAAGATAAGCATTAAAAGCACAGAAATTTCTAACTTGAGAAATAGTTTGTACTCCCTTTTCAATGTCACTGATGATCATGTCCAGTGGGTATGAGCTTTGATGTTTCCATTTTCTGAAATGAATTTGATCAATTTGATTCATCATAGGCTCATCAGGTGTTTCTTCAACTTCATCCTCAAGAAGATCGATACGTTCATGAAGTTCTTCTTTTTTGTTTCAACTTCCTTAACTGTGGTATTTGTATCTCCTACTCCTTGGTGATTTGCTGCTTTGACACCAAAGTTATCTTCCTCATCTATATTTGGCTCTAAGCCTAATGTAGATGACCTTAACAAACCTATATCGAAATCATCAAGAACCTGCACAACTTTATCAAAGGCATCAGATTCATCAAAAATAACATGTATGCTTTCCTCAACACACATTGTCCTCTTATTATACACTCTATATGCCTTACTTTTCGAGGAGTATCCTAAGAATACACCCTCATCACTACGTGGGTCAAATTTTCCTAAATTGTCCTTACCATTATTGTGCACAAAGCACTTACACCCAAATGTCCTGAAGTGTACAATTGAAGGCTTCCTCCTTTTGAGTAGCTCATAGGGAGTCTTCTTTAACGATGGCCTTATCATTGCTCTATTGATGATGTAACATGCGGTATTAAGAGCTTCAGCCCAAAGTTCCTTGGTAGTCCACTTTCAATTAGCATGGTTCTTGTCATCTCCTCTAGGGTTCTATTTTTTCTTTCCACTAATCCATTTTGTTAAGGAGTCTTAGGAGCTGAGAAATTGTGATTAATGCCATGCTCTTTGCAAAAGTCAACAAATTTTTTTTAGAAAATTCTCCTCCATTGTCAGACCTAATAGACACAAGTCGGTGTTCAATTACATTTTGATTTTTCTTAACAAATGCTTTAAATTCATCAAGTGTTTCATCTTTTGTAGCAAGAAAAATCGTCCATGTAAATCTTGAGTAATCATCAACTATAACAAAAACATACTTCTTACTTGACCTACTCATGACTGTCATTGGTCCACATAAGTCCATATGAATAAGCTCTACAAGTCGAGAAATATAACACCTCGTATTTCTAAAACATATAATTATATATTAAAATATGGATTAAGGGATATGATTAGTAAAAATCCTGAGTTCTGGTTCAAAATACATTAGAAGGGTAAACGGTAATTCGCCAAACACATAATCCTAGGAAAGGAAAATTGAGTAGAAGGTTTCAAATGGGAAAACTAACCTTGGAAATGGACTCAGACGAAAAATTAGTGGTTAGGCAAGTTTCTGGAAATTTGATGAATAATATTTTTACCGGATAAAAATATTGCGGTATAGTTGCATCGTAAAGCTTGTCGAATGAATTTTGAGCTCTAGGTTTGGAAATAACTTATAAATGATACATAGGACTAGGAGTTATGATTTCTAATGAAAATTGATTGAGATTAAGATTTTTGAGGAAGCGTGCCCAGAATGCGCATAACAGCTTAAAACTGTGATTTCACCGAACGACTGGAAAACTCCGGATTCATTTGATCAAGGGAAATTAAAGAACTTTGGTGAATATTAAATTTTGGAGTTTATGAATAATTTATGAATTATTTGGAGATTGGTGGTTCAAGTGAGAGATTTGAAATAATTTGAATTGAGTGATGTGTCAAGTGGGACCCACCCACTTAAGTGACTTAAGCCACCTATGCAATCAGCCACTATTCATCATCTTCTCCCCCATTCTCTCTCATCAAAACCAAGCTCCCCTTCATCTTTGTACAAGTTTTGGTTCAAAACTTCATTCCACCAAAACACCACCAAAATCCAACTTCCACTACATCAAACTTTAAGTAAATGGCATTCTAAACACAACCATGTTAGTCTCAAGGCTTGAAACTCACTAAATTGGGAGAAAAAAGGGACCCAAGTCTGCAGCCAAGGTGTGGAAGATTGGTGTTCTTGTAGTTGATGGATCCTCCAATGCTTGGGTATTCTTTTTCTTCAGCATCTCTATTGTAATTTCAGAATTTTCTAGTGGAGAATCAATGTCAAGAGCTTTCAAATCTTCTTCGAGAGCTGGATCATCATATTTCTTCTTAAGCAGCAACTCATCAAAGATGTCTACTTGAAAGCAGTCATCCTTATCAGTTGCTTGCTTCATTGCATCAAATACATTGATGGTAACCTTTTTGTCATCCATCCTCAGCTCTAACTTTCCTTGCTCTACATCTATCATGGTTCTGGTTGTGGCTAGGAAAGGTCTTCCTAAGAGAAGGGGCATGTCACCTTCTTCTTCCATACCAAGGACTATGAAGTAAGCAGAAAATATGAACTTGTCAACTTTAACAAGAACATCTTCAATAACTCCATTTGGTCTTCTTAGAGATCTATCAGCAAGTTGTAAGGAGACCATGGTGGGTTTCAATTCTGAAATTCCCAGAGATTTCATCACAGACAAAGGCATGAGATTGATGCTTGCTATGAGATCACACAATGTCCGGCCAACATTAATGTTGCCTATCGCAATGGGGATGTTGAAACTCCCTGGATCTCGAAGTTTTGGTGGAAGCTTCTTCTGGATAATGGCGCTGCACTCCTCTGTGAGAGCCACTGTCTCAAATTCCTGCAACTTATGCTTTCTAGACAAGAGGTCTTTCATAAGCTTAACATAATTAGGAATTTTAGCTAAAGCTTCAGTAAAAGGAATATTAATTTGTAACTTTTTAAAAATATCTAAAAACATGGCATATTGTTGCTCCTATGAGTGCATTACATTCTTTAGTCTCGTGCTCTCATTTACGGTATTCACACACTACTGGTTGAGCTTGCATTGCAGAAGCTTGAAACTTTTCAAATTTGCTATTCAAAATAGCAATTTGCTGAGAGATGAGTTTCTGTCGGCTAACATTGCATCATTGTTCTACGGTTGAAGAACTCCTCTCTTAGGTTGTGTTGTAATGCTTTCATTCTCAAGTGCTGCCATGGATTCAAACAACGCCAATGCTTGAGTTGGTGCTTTATGTGTTATAGACCCTCCAGCTGCAGCATTGATAACCATCCTTGAAGAAGGTGTAATTTCATTGAAGAATATACGGACCTTTTCCCCAGGTTGTAACTCATACTGAGGACATTTTCTCAGTAGTTCTTTAAATCTCTTCCATGAAGCACAAAGAGTTTCTCCTTCAGGTTGCATAAAATTTGTGATCTCATTCACCAACCTATTGTATTGTCATTGGGAAGAACTGAGCTAAAAACTTGGCAGCCAAGTCTTCCCAGGTACTGATGCAGTTTGCTGGCTGTTGTTCTAACTAGTTGAATTATTCCCTTTTAAGAGAGAAAGGGAACAGCGCAATCTCAGTGCATCATCGGATACCCCATTCCATTTGACGGTATCAAATCATCAAGAACTTCTCCAGATAAGCATGTGGATTCTCCAAATCATTCCCTAAAAGCTGGGATTGTTGAACCAAAGATACCAAAGCTGGCTTGATCTCGAAGTTGTTAACCTCAATTGTTGGCTTTGTTATGCTTGAGTTTGGTCTCGTGAAGCTCGGCGTGAGAAACGCATCCATCAGAGCCTCTGGAGGAGGTTGAGGATTGTTGCCAGCCATCTCAATTGGTTCTGCTCTTGGCTTTGAACTGGAAGGTTCTTCTTGTTTCTTCTGTTTAGTAAGCTTCTCGTTCTTCTTTGCAGTCTTCTCAATTTCAGGATCAAATAGCAGAGAAGCAGGATTTACTATACCTCGCATAAAATAAAATAAAAAAATCAGATTAATAAAAACAAAAATAACGTCCAATCTCAAAGATCGAAAGCTATAATTAATATTGGCGTAATTTAATCCTCGACAACGACGCCAAAAACTTGTTGTGATTACGGCAAGTATACCGATTATTTCAAGTAATAAAGCAGTGAGAAAGAGTATCGTCCCACGAGGATTACAACACCAAGTACTATTATAACTATTCCCTTTAATTTGAACAATCCAATTTGGTTTAGAGAATAAATTTTGAATAAAAATAAAAATAATTGAAAGTAAATTTACAAACACTCAAGAACATTCAAGAACGCAAGTAATAAGTATGATTAAATAAATTGTGATAAGGAAATGTAGCCAAGGCACATTTCACTTTTGATCCCGCTTTATTAATTAGAATTAATTCTTATAATTAATTAACTCAATAGTTCAGACAATTCATCTTCTTCAAAATTAATTGGTTAAACCCTAATGTCTTAGTGTATTTAACTCTTTAACCCAATTAGAATCATAATGTCTTTGTAATTCTTCTTGAATTAAGCATTTAACCCAATTAGAATCATAATGTCTTTGTAATTCTTCTTGAATTAAGCATTAAGTTCAATGAATTACGAAGTCTGCAATCCATACAGACTATGTCTAGATCATGCACAAATTGTTATTTTACCCTAGTCAGAATTAAAACCCCAATATGTCTATTATGAGCTATAACCCTCAAAACCCTATAAGATTGATCAAGTCTAATAAGGATATAAAATTTTCATTCAAGGTAAAATAAAACTAATTGAATTAAAATAATTATAAAAATAATTCAAATATCCAAAAAAGATTCACATCAGATCCATGACCCTAATTACAAAAGAAAACTAGCCAGACATATTCATTTGAAGAATGTTAAGAAGATGAAGAAGAAGAAACAATGGTTGATTAATTTCTTCACGCTTCCTTCTCTTTGATTCATATGCCTCAGCAAAACTTCATGAATTTTTCTCTGTGCTTTTCCAATTATCTCTGAATTCTTTTACGTCGAAAAATCTACTAATAAGGTTTCTTTTTCCCTATTTATATAGTGCAACCAAATCTCCTCAGAATCTTTCAAGGAATCCTTTTTTTTTTTTTTATAAAGTTCCACCTCAGCATATTATTGCACATGATATCTGCGTGGTTAGCGCCAATACCGCGCGGAGAGGCAGTGAGTTAATGAGCTTCAAATCTTCTTAGCGCTGATCGCGATAATCCCATGCCAGTAGCGCAGATTCAATTATTCCTGGCGCGGATCGCGCCATTCCAGCGCCAATCGCGCTGTGAGGCATTCACTAGACTTCTTTATGTGAATTAGTCCTTTTTTCTTGCACTTTTCTTCTACAAAACATAGAAATTCAGTGAGAGTGTGCCTGAGCAAAGATTATCAATATTTCTAACAGATAGTAACATTTATTGCTCAATTAATATCAAATCCTTACTCTTTATAGTCTAGAAAACTATATATGCTAGAGGCATATCATACACTATTGCACCAACAAGCTGCCGGGTCATCAAAATGAAATGAAGTTAAGAAGAGACGTAACTTCAGGTGCATTGAAGAAGGAACAATACCCCTCTCGAGTGATGGTCTAGGTTGTTGGGTCTCCTTAGGAAATCTGGGAAAATCCAGCTTAGCTTGACGAGATTGGACAAATTCAGAACCATTATGTGAGAATTTTGGAGTGGTCCAGAACCAAGAATTCCAAATCTGGCATTTCTAATTTATCTTGAAGAGCATTGTTGTAAGTCAATTAAACGAGTCAGGTCCTAGTGTAATAGTGCTTGAGATTATTGTAAACTAGTTTGGGACTCCTGTAGTCGGGTCTGAGACTCTTGGAGTGCCATGTACCAATGTTCCCTAATGAGCTCCTCTGTTTCAATTCGTTCTTGTAAGTGTATAAACTCTATTGGTAAGATCGCGGAAACGAGTGTTTTCAGCCATGTATATTAGGAAGGAGAGGGGTTCACTGGAAGCACCATAATGTAAGGAGACAAAATTGCAGATGAATAGAAGAAGAAGATGAACCGAGAGGAAGGTGAGGAAAAGAGAGAGAATTCTATAAAATCGGGTTATGTCCTGTTCCATTCATTTTCCTTCCATATAATCCACGTACTATTTGTTACAACAATCCATAAAAGTAAATTACTGTAATACCCTTTAGTAACATAAAGCCTTTGACAAACTTAAAATTGGAATTCAATAACACTCCTATTAGTTACTAATTACATATGATAGTCTGAGATATGTGGGCTTATTCTTATTCTTGATTCTAGTGGACCTTCTCCCTTGTTCGGTTGCTACAATAAACATTGTGTATTGTGCCAAAATATATTTGTGAAGTTATATATAATTATGCTTGATTCTTTATTTCCTTTTTCTTTTAATATAATTCATTATTCAATGAATGTAATTTTCATAATATAATTTTTCTCAACTAGTGCAATCTCCTTTTCTATTTAGACAAGCAATACATATTGCGTATTTTCTGAACTTGTGGTTAATCTAATCTTGACACGACCCACGGACCCAATATTAAACCCAATCTAAGCCCCAACATGATCTATTTGTTTAAGTTTATAAATCTGTAAAATTAATCCAATCAAAATCTTGCACAAGAATCGAAATAATTCAAACCCAACTCACAAGCACTCGCGATTTTGCATCGGCAACGCTGCCTTTCCCAAAACTTTTATTTAAGAAAAGGATAAAACACATATTCTCAAGGATAAATCGCATTTGGATGAGTGGATTTTTAAATTTGTTACATTAATGGATTCCCTTTTAAACAAAAAGTGAAACCCAATCGTTCAAAAAAGAAAAAAGGCCCCAGTTTTTCAGCTGTAAAATAGAGTTCAAAAATCCCAAAAGAAAGTCGTGAAGTGCATGCGGGTTAACTCTCATTAGTTTTAACTGAAACTGCCATGCCAATGAAAAATTGACATCCTTTGGATTTATATTACGAAGCCATATTGAAAGAATAAACCGTGGTTTAACAGTACCTTTGAAGCATAAGAATTTACTCCTAATAATGAACTTATATATATATACATACAATAATGAAGGATTGCTTGGTTAACCGATGGAATCAAATGCATGCATGACTGCAGAAAATCACTTGACTAGTTCTTCATTCTTGCTTGCTTCTTCAAGTTCTCTCAACCCTCCAACCTTTTGTTCTATCTCCTCAATCAACTCCTCCCGCAACAGAGCTTCTCTGGCTTCTACTTCCATCAGCTCTTGCTGCATAGCCATAATAATACTCACAGTTCAAAATGTTCTACCTTAAGACTTTACTTGCAGGAAGGTGCTATCTTGCCATTATAACGTATTTGGCCTTTTTGATTATTGCGTATTTCAATAAAAACATTCATATTATAAATGCTTAATTTCCTCTTATGAAAGGAAAATATTTTCAGTATTCTAGTAGTATTTAAAACTCAGCGCATCATTGTTAAAATTAGAAAGAAAAAAAAAACATTTAAAAAAACAACAACACATCTAACCTTATTTATTTTATCCGCCTTTTTATGGTTAATACACTTGAGTTCTATTTTTAGTAAAGGAATACCTATCGGAGATAGTTTGGCCTCATCTAATGTTGATACATAATGTGGATAACAGAATGTTTAAGTCATGAGCTAACTGAAACTGAATGGTTTATGACAAAAAGCATTTAAGCTTGGTAGGAGTAGGAGTAGGACTAGTTATATATATGTTTTGTGTTTACTTCTTAGGATTTGATTTGTGCTCCCCTGTTTGGGGCTTTTAGTGCAAGAAAAGAATAACAAAGTCATTAAGAAAATTACCTTGTCATAGATCCAATGGCCAGTGCCATCTCCTCCATCTCCCCTATATGTTTCTGAGTCGTAATATGGATCCTAAATCATATGAAACTAAAAATTAAAAGATCCATACACAATTGCCAAACATGAATGGAAGTACAAGTGTTTTTTACCTTCATGGAACCAAAGACTAAGCATCCCCAAACGGTGAACATTATGTACCAAGAGTCTGCAACAGAAAGGGTACCAATAAGAAATCAAATTGAAATTCCTAAGAGAGAAAACAAAAATTAAAGAACAGAGTTTGGAGGAAAGAACTCAAAGAAGGGTTGAGGAGGAGCTATGATATTTGAGACTTACACACATTCTTTATTTCATTATCACTAAGATGCACAATTGATTTATGGGTTATCAAATCTCTCTGCCCTTCAAATTGCTCTACTAGAACTGCCATCAATGGAAAATCTGGCAAGCCATTCACTTTACACAAAGATGCTCTTTTGGTCTTGCCCTCTTCGACCTTGTTTACAATTACATAAGAAACAACATGCTATCATTGTTTAAAGTGTAAACTGAATCTAGCTTTCACTTTTAATATAAACTACTTACCTGCCACGGTCTGTTGAAAAGGGTCGAGCTTGAATGCTGCTTGGGCTGCAAAAGAAAGACACCTTCATTTTTTCAGCTTTGAAACTAGCAAGTGAATCTCAAGAGATGAAATGGATAGCAAAGGACCATTTTACCAATCTTGAAGAGGGGTTCACTTCAAATCTCCTTGTTTGTAGACATGAACTATGAATATGTGATTTGAAAACGGTGAAACCCATGATAGCTTCAGCCATGGTTTTGAACGAGCACAGTACTAGAAAGTGGTTGCTATGCTGGTCCTTACATATATGGGATAGAGTGGATAAGAGTACAATGAAGAACCACCTTTCAAGTACATATTTCCAACAAATTTGATTTGTATCGAATTCTTCAAAATAATTCATTAAAATGACCTCCGTATCCTCGTTTATTTATATTAGGGGTTATATTTTATTTTATTTTTTGAAAATATTCTAATCGATTCATTGTTTCGTAGCTAATTCGATTCGGAGTGGGTCTGAATTAAGACTTTAAATTTCTACCAAAGATGAATGAGATTGCATTTTCTTATGCAACATAAGAGAAGTTTTTTTTCCTACACATACAACTAAATGAGCTCATTAATTAAAAAAAAAAGGAAAAAAAATATTAACACGAGAGTAACTTTGTTCCTAACATTTATTTACCCCTTTATATAAACACACGTTGAATTTCTATCAACTTTTACAAGCCAAAAACCTTGAAGCTATCCGTGTTCAATGTTTAAACCCGTAACTTCCCAAATTCATTCCCCTAAATCTCCCATTTATTTTTACCGTACATAACTTAAAAGATCATATCATTTATGGGTTTTATGAGAATAATGTTGCATAATATAAATTTTTTTTCCTACCCTCACAATAAAGAAGAAAGAGAAAGTGAAATGATGAAAGAGAAAAAAAAAACATGTGGACTCCACCTCTTAATTGTGTGTAGGAAAGTTTTCTTAGGTTATGTAACATGATACTACTAAAACCCATCATTTATTGCAGATATTTTTTCATATTAACTGATATATCAACGGCCTCTTTTAATATTTTAAGAGTAAAATCTCTTTTGGGTCCTAACAATAAAAAAATACGGTGCCTATTTTTGTCTTTTATACAAATAAAGTTAATTTTTGGTCCTTCTAAAATTTTTAATTTTTGAAAATGTGATCCTTCAGAAATTTAATAAAGATCTAATTTAATTCCTAAAAAATGACTAATATAAGTATTTTTTTTATAAAGGACGAAAGTGAGAATCATATTTTTTGTCAGAGACCCAAAAGAAATTTTACTCATATTTTAAACATTTATTGACAGCTCAACCATTAATAAATATAATGATAATTTTTTTTAGGAAAGAGAAAAAAGAAAATAAGCAAGAAAAGAAAAATTAGAGAGAGAAGAAAAAGGAAAGAGCCAGTCGCAGAAACAATTCTTTTGCTTTTGAAATATATATAATTTTTTCGAAGGAAGTTTTTTTTAAAAAAAAGAAATATATATAATTTCCCCTTTTTTCTTAACACAAAAATTTTGGCTGTTGGTGATAATTACGTATGAGCGCACTGACGAATTCGATAGATGCCTCCCCTAGGGTAGTGTTTGGTTCGGGAGAAATTTTTTTTTACTAGGGAAATATAATTGATAGGGAAATGGTTGGAAAGTGAGTTTGGTAGGAAAATGTAAAAAAAGTTGTTTGGTTGACCCAAATATTACCAGAGAAATTTATTTAAATATGCAAAATCTATATTCGGGAGAAACTTTGCACTTGTTTTTTCACTTTCCCAGTTATCTCAAAATACCACATTTCAAGTGGTATTCAACACAAAAGTCATTTTTCCATCTATCCTATTTGCCTGATATTTTTTGAAAAAACCTGAACCAAATATGGTATTTTTCAATATCCACTTACACTTCCCATCAATCCCAAAATAAACCTTCAACCAAACACTACCTAGGAGAAAACTTTTACTCAACATTGCATGTTTTTACTATAATCATGTATGTTAGAGAATATATAATTATACAAAAATGTATTTGTTATGTTACATGATAAATGAATAGTTGTTATGTTAAGAAAAAAACAAGATCAATTTATTAAATAATGTGCCATCTTATTTTCTTTAATATTATATAACCTGTTTTTTTTTTCTTAACATAGCAACTATTTATTTGTAATGTAACATGACAAATGCATTTTTCATAATTATATATCCACATCAACAATATTTTTATCTCAAATTAATCGGGGTCGGTAGTAGATGAACCCAAATAAAAGATACGAAATGATTGAAAAAAGATAAGAAATAAATAAATAAAATAGTAATAATAACGAGTCTAACCCTCCACCATGCATATAGATTTTCTCCATTTCATTCTAAGGCACACCGTCCGCCAATCTATATCCCACTTCATTAAGTCTTGCTTTACTACCTTCTCCCAAGTTGGTTTCGATCTACCTCTACCTTTCTTTGTGTTAAGCTCTTGGTAACAAACTTTTGTTCTTACGAGAATATTTAGGGGCATTGTCATTACATGCCCAAACCACTTCAATCTATGTTCTCTCATCTTTTCAGCCACCAATAGTACTCCTACCTTTCGTCGAGTATCTTCATTTCTCATCTTATCCATCCTCGTATAACCACACATCCACCTTAACATCCTCATCTTTGCTACTCTCATTTTATGCTCATGTTGTCTATATGCTGCCCAACATTCAGCTCCATATAGCATTGCAGGTGTTCTATAGAATTTTCCTTTTAACTTAAGGGGGATTTTGCGGTCACACAAAAATCCAGATGCACTACGCTATTTCATCCACCTTGCTCTGATTTTATGATTTACATCCTTATCAATCTCTCTACCTTTTTGCAAAATGGATCCCAGATATCTAAAAGCATCTTTCTTGGGTACCTCTTGACCAAGTAGGTGCACGAGATCTAGGTCTTCATCTCTTGCCAGAGAAAACTCACACTTCAAATACTCAGTCTTGCTCCAACTTAACGTGAATCCTTTAGATTCCAACGTGCTTATCCGTAATTCAAGTTTTCTATTAACACCATCTTTGTTCTCATCAATAAGCACAATATCATCTTCAAAAAGCATACACCATGACACTTTCTCTTGAATATTTTTTGTTAGTTCATCCATAACTAAAGCAAAGAGATAAGGACTTAGAGCCGAACCTTGGTGTACACCTACCGTGATAGGAAAATAACTTGATGTTCCATTACAAGCTTTCATACATGTAGTAGCCCGCCCCATCATACATATCATTGATTGCCTTTACATACTTTGATGATACCTTTTCTTCTCAAGAACCCATCATAAAACATTCCTTGGAACCTTATCATATGCTTTTTCAAGATTTATGAACACCATACGTAAGTCCTTCTTCTTTTCTCGATATCTTTCCATTAATTGTCGCATAAAAAAAATGGCTTTCATGGTATATCTTCCTAGCATAAATCCAAATTGATTTACAGAAACTTTGGTGTCTCTTCTCAAGCGATGTTCAATAACTCTCTCCCACAACTTCATAGTATGACTCATTAGCTTAACGTCTCTATAGTTTGAACAATTCTGTAGAGCATATAATTATAATATTAATTTTTTTTTCTCTTTTATATTAGCTAATAATTTTATATGAAAAAATAATTTTAATATTACAATTAGAATAAGGTTATATTTACGATCTATTTTTATGTAGAATCTCTTATAATTATGTCTTAATAATTGATTTCCGTGAATTAATAATTAATTAATAAATTTGATTTACTAAAATAATAATCATTGATCGACGAAAATCAACAATTAAAATATAATTATAAATTAAAACAAATTATAAATATAAGAGTAAATACCCTTTTTGATCTCTAACAAAAAACACAGTCCCCTATTTTAGTCCCTTACAAAAATAAATTAGTCAGTTTGTCCCTAACAAATTCAAGGTGGACCCATTTTAATTCTTTTGAGGAACTAATATGAGTCTTTTTTGAATTTGTGAGGGACCACGATTTCAACTAAATGGGTTTACTTTGAATCTGTTAGGAACTAACTGACTAATTTATTTTTGTAAGGAACTAAATTGAGAAGTGTATTTTTTGTGAGGGAGTAAAAATGATATTTACTCTTTTTTTTTTTTTTTATAACAGGTATTTACTCTTTTAACCAGCTTAGTATATGCCGGCCAAATTTCATAATTATAACTCGATGCGACGGCTGAACCGAAGAAATTTCGCCTTAGAAGAAAGAAGGTCTAGAAAGCAACTTTCTATGTGCTACCCTCTCTCTATATGCTACCGATTCATTGATTTATATATTAACATCATTTAGCTGTTGACCTATTCATTAATGTTAGTTTTATTACAAACGATCACGTTATAAATAAAAGACTCAGAGATTTAAGAAGACCAAAGAACAACCCAATATCCGGAACAATTAATTTCTGTCTCTTAGAATCGGAAAAAAAAAAAAAAAAAAAAAAATTCCCCAATGGGTTTGTTGGATCTGGAGAAGCACTTCGGCTTCTACGGCGCATACCACAGTAACCCCATCAACGTTGCGATTCACATCATTTTCGTATGGCCAATCCTCTTCACCGCACTTATCCTTCTCTACTTCACCCCTCCCCTATTCTCACCCACACAATTAGGGTTCATCATCCACCCTGTCCTCGTCTTCAACTTGGGCTTCTTCTTCACAGTCTTCTACGCACTCTTCTATGCCGCTTTGGATACGAAAGCTGGGTCCCTCGCTGCTTTGCTCACTTTCCTCTGTTGGGTCGGTGCCAGTTTTGTTGCCAATAACCTCGGCTTCGCACTCGCTTGGAAGGTACTTAAATTCACCTCAATTTGCTTCATCTTCACCCTATCATTGATGTAACTTTTGTGGGTCGGGTTAAATTTCTCAACTTTATTTATGTTCGGAGTGGATCGTATTACGCAAGAGAATCCTAATCTACAGTGATAAAAAAAAAATAGAGAGAAAAAAAATATAAAGATAGAAAATTATAAAATTAGTACTATTGATTTGATTATTGATCGTTAAATGATTCTTTTACATAATATAAACATGTTATGAGAATCAATTTCCATCTATGTTAGTCGTTGATTTGGACCAGAACGTATAATTGTGTAAGTCATATCTGTAGTCTTTAGCAGGGGGTCTTTTTAATTTTGAATCAGTGTTTCTCACTATTTAGATTTTTGTCATCGAACTGTTAGTTCATACTTTTGTCTAAAGCTCCTAAGGACTGTTAGTTTTCCTTATGGGTGGTGGTCCTGTATAAGTAATTGTACCTTTGTACGAGTTCCTCTGCCACCCTCTATGTACGAGAGTTCCGTGACTGTTAGTTCATCCAAAGGTACAGTTACGGATATGTCCTGACAACCAGACCCATAGGTGTTAAGTGAAACTCTGGCCCTCTTGTTTTCCCAACAATTACACCAGAATTTGTTAGTTTTTTGCTTTCTAAAGATCAAACTGGTAGCTTAATCTTATATGGTTCTGGTATATAGTTGGATGAATTATTAGAATAACTTTTATTTTTATTAGTTGCATAATTAGAGAGTTGTTAGTTATCTCTGAGATCTTCATATTACATTGTTGCCCTCATCACTCTTAAATGGTCATTTGCTGCCCTTTGCTTAAAAGGCAAGAGTTCACAACTGCACAATAAAGGGTGCTAGGGGCCTGCTGGGGAATCATATTTACAATGTGAAGTCTTATTGTCATCGAACTTGTTATCTATTCTCATAAAGATAAATTTGAATCACATTTTTTACAAGATTATTTATTTTTAAGGTAGAGACTCTACTAGATGTTGTTCGCCAACCAAGTGTTTTAGGAATGGGGTTTATGTCAATGCTTCTTTAGTTCATCATAGTTGCTCTACAGCACTGTCGAATCTCAACTGTTTGCTTCAATTATAAATGGTTGCATGTCGGCAACTCTTTTGCTTAATTGAAAAATGGAAATAGTTACCCATTTGCCACATATTTTTAAAAAATTACTCAAAGTAAAATTTTCCAAATTGCCACGCGTGTTAATTCGTTGCAGCAGGTAGCGAACTACGTTTGCAAAACGTGGTACATTTCTAGTGGCCACATAATTTGCTACTGACAGTAGCGAACTAGGTGGTCAATAGTCAGTCTACTCTGAGCTGAAGTAGGACATGTGCCAACCCCTGAGAAATTTGCTGGCTGGCATAGCAAACTAGGTGTGACATGTCAGTCTGCTGTCAGCAAAAGCAGGACACGTGGCAGGTTGTGCATAATTCGTTGGCTGGCATAGCGAACTAGGTGTGACATGTCAGTCTGCTCTGAGCAAAAGCAGGACATGTGGTAGCCTGTGCATAATTCGCTGGCTGGCATAGCAAACTAGTTACTGCTTTGACACGTCGTAGTTTGCTATCTGTTCCAGTAAATTTAGTGTTATTTATACCCAACCTAGTTTCCCTCTCGACCAGTGTCATTCGCTCCATTTCTTCATTTTCATTCTTACCTGTTTTGTTGCCCAGGTTATTTCCTCCTATTTTTTTTTTTTTTCATTTTTACATAATGAGTGACAGTAGCAATGATTTAATCGCCGTTGTATATTATAATGGAAGGAGGTATTTTAGACCGAATGATCAAGTTTTTGAAGGAGATACAAAAATATTTCGCATGAGCCTTCGATGCAAGTATAATGAACTAAAGAAGATAATATACAAGAAGTTGAGATTACAACGGGGTCAATCTCTTTCTCGATTGACTGCTAGATGCGTATCGGGCCCGCAACAGTGGGTTGCTGTGGAGATTGTTAAGGACGAAGATGTAGCGTTAGTTGTAGACGCATTTCGACATCATGGAGACTCCACATTTGTCAAACTGTACGCGGAAGTAAAATCTGGCAGACAATCAAACACTCAACATTATCTCCCATCCATTCACTCCATCGACATTAATAAGGAGCCTATGGTTAATCCGAAAGAAAGGTATGTGTCACCCCCACCAATGTCTTATGAAATGCTTTCGGCCCATGACATGTACGATTTGGCTTGGCGTACGGACAGTTCCGAGGAAGAGGTGGACGAAGGTCTTGTTTTGGACAGTGACTCATCGAATGCGGACGTCGATGGTGATTTCGATTGTTGTCCGTCTAGCGCAGTGTGTCATCTGATTCCTTTATCAGGCGTTGTCGGAGTGCATGACCCGCCAGTTGTAGGTTAGTAATTGTAATGGTCAAAAGTGTTTTTTAACATAATTTTTATTGAAACATTTGAGAATAACGAATGCATGTATGATTAAATAGGAGACAATAGTGTACCTTTTTGGTCTCAGATAAGCCATTACACGAATATTAATTGGTCACACCCAGATCAGGAGTTGGATGAAATGGAGGGAGCACAAATACCTAACTAGCAAATGGGTCAAGAGCTATATAAGGACAATAAAACAATTTTGTATGGTGAATCATCGCACAACCGTTGTAGAAAAGAGTGATACCAAAAGGTTGATCATGGTTTGTGAAAATCACAATGACGGTTGTCCATGGAGGATGAAGGCATTCGTAAAAAAGGGCAAATGGAATAACGAACACACATGTGTTAGTCAAAGTTAGCAACTAGACTCAAATCTCATTTGTTCATTGATCATAGGTATGTCAAATAGTCTTTCTTTTTAGTTATTAATATTTTTGGAATAATTACTAATACATTATTGTTTGACCAAATCCTTAAATGATAAGGGAGGGGCCCAGTGTTAAAATTGCTCTAATCCAGGAAAGGATAGCAACAAATCTTGGATTTCATGTATCTTACAGGAAGGCATGGAAGGCAAAGCAAAAGGCAATTGTAAAATTTTTTGGGGATTGGGATGATTCTTATGCATTTTTGCCAAGATGGTTGGATTACATGTTGCTATTTTCTCCAGGGTCTGTTTATAAGCTAGATCTGAATGATCATTTTGATTTTGGATGCCTCGATCGATCTCACAAGGTGTTCCACAGGGTGTTCTGGACATTTAAACAGTGTTGTGATGCTTTTGATTATTGCAAGCCGGTTATCCAAATCGATGGTACCTACTTACGGGGAACGCTTTTGATTGCTACAACAGTTGATGACAACAATTACGTCTTGCCAATTGCATTCGCGGTTGTTTCCGGTGAGAATCTTGACAACTAGTCGTGGTTTTTGGCATTGATTCAGATCCATGTGACTCAAAAACACAGAATCTGTCTTATTTCTAATCAACATTCGGGAATCTTGTCTGCAGTCAACATTGTGGAACTAGGATTGCAACCACCCCAGGGATACCATGTCTTTTGCCTTCGCCACCTCGGGAGTAATTTCAATCACAAGTTCAAGAAGGTGATGTTGAAGAAGCAATTGAAGAAGTTAGGTATGTATGTGCACATATGCATCTCTTATAGCACCATCTTGTGTGAAATTAAGTGACTTATATTCAGTTCATGCTTGTATGTGCAGGTTATACAATCTCGCGCTTAAACTTTGACGCTGGACGTCGCGATCCTTGGAGGTATTCCACACATACGTGGATATATGTTTCTCCTGTAATGTCAGGAGAGAACGGTCGGACAGACCTAGATCAATCACACTTCGCGGAGACCTAGGGCATGAGGGTTCATCATGCTCCATGGATCTATTTAGAGGAATAATTAAATGATATTACTATTTTAACTTATAATTATTAACCTAAATAGTAGCAATAACATGTCCTCTAACCCAAGGTTTTGAGACCAAAAATAAATAACATTAATATAAAAAATATAAAACATAATTTGTATTTAACATTTTAAAATATTAAATAATTCACTAACAAATAACATGTCCTCTAACCTAAGGTTATGAGACCTAAAATAAATAATATTAAAATAAAAAATTAAAACAATTTGTATTTAAAATTTTAAATAAATAAATAATTTACTAACTATCCTACATATTAATTCACCAACAAATAGCATGTTCTCTAACCTAAGGTTTCGAGATCTAAAATAAATAATATTAAAATAAAAGATATAAAACATAATTTAAAATTATAATAATTCACCAACTATCCTAGAGTTTCAATTAATATAATAACATTAACACATTGGTTTCTTACCTAAGGTTTCAACTCTTGAAATAAATAATATAAAAAACTAACACCTACTAATAATGCATAAATAACAAAATAAAAAACACTAATAATGCATAAATAACAAAATGTAAAACACTAACCTTGTGAGAGATAAAATAAAGACCTTGTAGAGAGAAAAAGAGAGAGAGAGGAGAAATATGTAATTATAGAGAGGGAGAGAGAGTGGGGAATTTTTTTATTTTTTATTTTGGGGGCGGGGAGGGGTTTTATATAGGCAACCAAGTGTGAATTATCCGTTGGACTTAGTTCGCTACACACTGTAGCGAATTTGTCCTTGTCAAACACGTAGCCCAACAACTATTTTTTTTTCTGACCGTTGGAACTAGTTCGCTGTACAGGTCAGCGAATTACCCATGTGACGTGCTTCAGCTGAGAGCAAACTGACTTTTTGGCCACCTATTTCGCTACTATTAGTAGCGAATTGCGTGGCCACCTGAAACGTGCTACATTTGCAAACGTAGTTCGCTACCTGTTGCAGTGAATTAGCACGCGCGGCAGTTTGGAAAATTTTACTTTTTGTGTGGCATTTGAGTAATTTTTTTATAAAATATGGCAAATGGGTCACTGTTCCTGAAAAATGTGTTAGTAAGAAAGTTGTTCTGAAGCTACATTCCTGCATGAGATGACAAAAACTTTTTATTTTGATTTTACCTTTTCTCGTTCTAATGTTGAGAAATGATAAGAAAATATCTCTCTTTATATAGTGGAATAGATGGAAGAATATTTAGATCATCAGACAGCAAAAAGCAATTCGGTTTATTTTTCTTTTGCTTTCTCCTTTTCTCATCCTAATGTTGAAAAGTGATGAAAAAAAATCTCTCTTAAAAGTAGTGGAATATATGGAATATGATTTGGATTTCTAGTTTGCTTCCAATAGCAATGAGAATTTATAACTTCTAAATGTTGTTTAATACCCCTCAGCACTGTTAAATTCATTTCCATATTTTGGCATTATTAAGTGTCAATTTATTTAATCTTAATTTGTATGCTTTCTTTCTTCTTCTTTTTCATGTTTAAGAGAGAGAAAAAAACCATATAAGAAAGCCACGAGACATATACTGAGATATTTTATTGTGCTTTGAACTTCATTATGACGACAATCTTTCAGGTTGTGTTGGCTGCTCAGTTGATTTGTTGGACTGGACAGTTTATTGGTCATGGTGTGTTTGAGGTAAATGATTTATTCCATTACTAATAAGCTTGATGCATAGGTTGTATGTTTCAATATGTTATAACCCTTTTTATTTTCTGTTTAGAAACGTGCACCGGCTCTCTTGGACAACCTTGTTCAAGCTTTTCTAATGGCACCTTTCTTCGTGTTGCTTGAGGTAATTGTGTGTCATATTTGTATGGACTGGTCTCTTTGACAATTGAAACAAGGTAAAATGGATATGATATGATTGGATTTTTCAGGTCCTCCAATCATCTGTCGGATATGAACCATATCCAGGATTTCAGACAAGGGTAAAGGCAAGGATAGAAGCGGATATCAAACAATGGCAAGACAAGAAACAAAAGAAACTTTCTTAGCTTGAACAAGTTACTTACAAATGTGGTGGTTGTACTTGTAGATCACTTGTCTGGAAACAAAGAAAAATGATTTGTATTATCCAAACACGTTCTTAGAACTATTGTCAAAAGTCTGATGTGAATCTCATTTGAAGTGTTAAAGGAAATATTACAGAGAGCTCATGAACCATTTATTTTGTTGCTACCAACCCTCTTAGTGATTGTTCCAACTTCCATATATGCAAAACCGTGCAATGATTTTCTTTCTTTGGGTCCATCTGTTTTTTGTTTTCTTTTCAGAAGCTACTACCTCTTGATAAGAGCTGAAACTCGATATTAGGTCTTTGCACGAACAACAAAGTATTTAACGAAGTGAGAAATTAACACCTTCAAACCATGTTATGTATTTAAACATGAAGAATTATGTAAAGAACCAATTTTCTCAAAAGCTTAAGCTGATAGGTGAGGGTTTTTTTAACTGTTTATACTATTCTTTAACACGTCCCTTCATACAAGATGAGTTTGAAGGGTGGATAATACACACTAAGAAAATTTCACAAGGTAAAGTGGGAGAGGGGGGAGGGGGGAGATGATGATCGAATCCGTTGCGCCGAGGCTTTGATAGCATGTGAAAAACCAATTCAATCTAAAAATTTAATCTGTTGAATGAGGCTACATTAATGATTTTATATATCTCTAACGCGCCCCCTCACATGAGAGCCTATTGGGCTTGAAGGGTGGGTGATGCATCAAGCTCAGCCTACCTGTCAGTGGCGGACCCGGAATTTTTTCTTGTGGAGGGCTAAAAATTAAACATTTGTTGCTCTCTTCAAACATAATATATGAGAGGTCAAAATACGAAAAATTAAATATTTGTTCCTCTCATCAACCACAATATGTGGGAGGCCGAAACACCAATCCAGAGAACATAACTCATAAATACCTCTTTTAACTTGTTATAGAGAGAAAGAAGGAGACAGAGAGAGGTGGAAGATGTCACCGTAAAATCTACTATCAATTTGAAAAAACTACACCTTTTCAACCCCTAAAATGAGCATTTTTTATGCAAAGAAAACAAAGAAAATGAGAAAAGAGCAAAGGTTTAGATTTCACAAAAAATATGTATTAATTACTATAATCTAAATAGTTAATTCAAAGTAGACCCCTCTCATTTCTTAACCTCTTTTTTTATTTACTCACTGTTAGCCCAACAAGAAAAAAAAAGCCAAATGTAAATCAGAAGAAACAGATTACCAAGAAGCACAATCACCAAAACCATTCTGCCCCTCACTTCCCTCTCTGTCACGATTCATCAGAAAAGGAGATAGATCGAATGAATAAGGTTCATTCTTTCATAAGACTCTCGAACTTCTTATTTGTATTTATGGATGGAAAGATTTGTGCTAACATCTAAGCATAATAAAAGTTGAAACTGTAAGTTTAAAGTCGAGATTTAAACTATAATTTAAGGGAAGGTTATATTTACAAACTTTTTGTTTAGAAACTCTTACAAACTACACTGTGTCTGATCGTCATACTTTAATCAAGAGTGTATGACTGGTCATACTTAATGTAATTTGTAAAAAAAATTGTAAACAAATCTTTCCCTATAATTTAATGCTAATTCCATATGCTAATTGTTACACCAAGTCTGTGCCAACAAACAAGCGCCACGTAACTAAAAGAATTTGAACTAAGAGAAACCATGTAGCTCTATTGGTGGTCATTGATACTCCCAACATTGTGATGTACCAAAAAAAAAATCTTCAAATTTGGGGGGGAGGGGGGCTACCCTAGCACCTCCCTCGGTCCGCCCCTGCTACCCGTGCGAAGAAATTTCACAAGAGAAAGTGAGGGGCGGTGAGTATCGAACCTGTGATAGCATACTATATAAAAAACTATTTCAATCCAAAAGCTTAAGCTGCTGGGTGAGGCTACATTAATAGTTTTATATATCTCAAACAAAATATTAGTATCATAACAATCTTTCCTTAGGTTCATTGAAATATTGATCTAACCAATAATAAAATTAAAACTGCAATTTATCATTATAACATTTTTACTTTTCTTGTGCTTTTACCATTTTGCCCTCTGTTACTCTTTCAAACCTTTTTAACCCTAAGATCAAGTGAAGGGAAGTATTGTTGTATATCTTCTCACCTTCTTCATTGTCTAAGTCTTTTCTCTTTCTTTCTTCCTTTTTGTCATTCTCTTTTTGAAGCTCCATTCTCTATCATGCTTTGCTGACATGTTGGTTCGTAGTTGAAGAGTGACTGTGTTGGTTTGTTGTTTTCTCTTTTGTGGTACAAAAGCTTTAAGATTTTTTAGGTATTTTACTTTCCTCTGTTCTTGTTCATACTTTTCCATTTTCTGGGTTTTAAATCTTCATACATTTTCTTTTCACTTGCTTTTTTTTATGGATTTATTTACTTTGTCTTGCTTGTTTCCTTCACACTGGTTTGCATTCTTCTGGAATTTCTGGGTTCATAGTCCTTCGAGGGTGTGCGTAGTTAGCTAGGTGTTTGATAAAATGCATTCTAAACATAACTTATCTTCTTACTTTAGAATGGTAGAAAGCACTGACTCAACTGATCCAAAGACTAGACCACCCAAGTCTCTGAGTACTAGTAGTTGGTGGCTCTTTGGAGAAGGGATTTCTTAATGGGAGAAAGCTAAACTTCTAGGCACATTGCCTTCAACATTGAGAGGCTATGGTGAATGCTCTTCATCCAATAGTGGGAAAAGTCTTTTAGAAGAGGAGAATCTCGCAAGGGTCGCGAAGGATCTTATGAGATGCCTAGAGCCCCTTCTCAGCAGAGTGGCGTTGGAGAGTGGAGAGAAATCCTAGGGAACCCATTATCATATTGAGTGACTTAGAAACAAATTCTCTGTCGATTTTTGATCCCGAACATCCTTTACCATCTCGCTCCCCTAGTCCCCAACCTTTGAATGTCATCTACCCAGATGTCCCTTTTCCACAAAGATTCCAAGTAGGCGAGATGCCAAGTGACTCATCCTCTGATTATTCTGATTCAAGCTCTACTTCTTCCTCCCTCATGTTATCAATGGGCCGTAGTAAAAAATTGATGGAGAAGATGGCTACAAAGAAAACTGTGGCGGTAGATGCGGTCAATCTTGCTTAGGTAGCTTCAAAGGTTCCATCAAAAGTAAATTCTGATGAAAGGGTAACAAAAATCTTGCGACTTTCCATCTAACTCCCAATAGAGAGAAGGATCACGAATGGCGATTTGCTCCAGTTTTCGCACATGAGATAGTCTACTCATCTCACGTAGACAAGAACTCTGTTCACTTTTTGATGATGTATTCTTCTTTCTTTCTGCAAATAGGTATTCTTCTTCCTTTTTCTTCTTTTATTATTGATGCCTTGAATCACTTAGGAGTTTCTATTACCCAACTTCCCCCCAATGCTTAGGGTTTCTTTTGAGTTTTTGAACTTTTGTGTCAAGTGTATGAGTTTAAAGCTTTTGTGAAGTCTTTCTTCACTATTTTCCATACTTATAGCTCTAATAACAAATCCAATAGCTACTTTCGTTTCGCTCTAACACCCAATCATCATTTTTGCTCCCTTTTCTAACAAAATTCATTCTTGGAAGGAAAAGTACTTTAAACACTATCTTGTTGTAGATAAGAATAAGACTAATCTCTATCCCTTCTTTCTAGATGACAACAACGATTCTCTCCTCCCCCTGTAATGGTCAAGGAACTTCTATGATCGAGAAGATCATGGCTTCAATATTATTTTTGGAGATCTAACGGCACTAGAAAGAGAGACTGTGAATGGTTTGGTCAATTTCGCAAAGAATTTTAATATAAGGATATTCTAAGTACTTTTGCGATATTGACTGAGTATACTGAAGCTGAGATCAAGGCCTCTATTGGTAGGATTTGTTTGATACTAACCTCTTTTCGTGTTTCTTTGTTCTTTGATTTGGGATGTTGAATCTATTTTTTTGCTTTTGTAGATAGCTTAATGGAGACCAAAAAGGAACAAGCAAAATCTGCTACTCCACCCATATCTTCATCTCCTCTTTCTCTTCGTGAGCCTTACCCATCTCTTGGAATGACTGATGTTGTGCAATTTCGCAATCCTATATATATATATATATATATCAATCACACAAGTATGCAAGTGCACGTATCACAAGTAATAAAATGGACGTGTGAGTCTAAGTATCGTTCCCACGGAGATCAAGTAAAGCTACGACTCTAATATAAGCAATAAGAGTAACAAAGATGATTAAGTTATGATCTAAAGTATTAACTAATGATTAAACTAAGTTAAGACTATTGATTAACTATGATAGCAATTAAAAAGATAAGTTTCATGTATTCAAAGATAGATTGAAATTAATTTTCCCAGTATTGCAATTTCACCATAATGATGTAACAATGCTATAACAATTATCCATCAGTAATCAGAACACTTATATATGCAAGGGCCCTCATCGACCTTCCAAGTATACTAGTTACCGTATCTTTATGGCCAATATAGTTATGAATCCATTAAGTGCAAGTACCATATGATTTTGTAGTCTGAATGATCTCTTTACCCACGCTTAACAAATTTCATTAGTTAATCCACAATGTTTAATAACTTTTCCAGATTCACCCATATCTCTATAGTCCAAACCCTAGAACACTTGAATCTTTATTAAACAACTAATGGAAAATTACATAGCAAATTTTAGGCAAACATGGTTACATTACAATACGAGTACTCTCTCACCCAATCATAGACAATTTAGTTCATACGTGAATAGAAAGAAACAACAAAGAAAGATAAAAACTCCATAGAACTAAGACAGAATAAACAGGGACAATGTTGCAGCTCTGCTCTCACTGCAATTGCTGGCTCCGCCACCATCCACCGTCTCTCAGCCACCAGAGCAATGTAGAGATCAACCGATTTCAGTGATCTCTCTACTGGACCCTAGCTCCACCCTTTGGCCCATTAGATCTCTCTCAACAAACCATCAAAATCTCGCAAGTATTTCGCGGCTTCAAAACCTTCCAAAAGCTCTTTGAACGTGTGTAGGCTATTCTTTATATAGAAAAAGGTGACTTTGGCGCTAAGTAGCTCTTCAAATCCGATCGTGATTTGGGTAAAGATTCTAGTCTTATTTGTTAATGATCTTTGTGTTTTAAATGCACCGTTTCACTTAAGCACAATTGCTACAGATCTGCTACTTAGAGCTACGACTCTGACCTGCAACAGAACAAAAGA